ACTGTCACTGGGTTTGTCATGTAACTAAATTCGAGGAGAAATTGAGCATGGGCGAAGGCTGTTCACAAATCAGTCTGGAACATAAGCAGAAAGTTAGCTCGAGACTCAGTGAAAATGATGGGGCAACTTGCCACGGGTTTACAAACAATTTGCTCAGCCTAAAGAAAAGAAAAAAACAACAGCTGGGGAAGAGTGGTAAAGACTGCAAGCTGAACCCTTACGCACAAGCTATTTTTTTGCCAGGACATTTTTTAAATCACTATCTTCACACAGGACTGTCCATAACACGCAGATGAATCACAACTAGGCTTGGCTACTACAGTACAGCGGCTCCGTGTAAGAATAAGCAGCTCTTACGTGGGTGCTCCTTGTCAGCATTACTGCTGGTCACACATTTGAATAAAATTAAGAGCAAATCCTGGCTCTCTTGCTAGGCAGCAAAGCCCAAAGAAGTGGCAGACAAGAAATAAAAAGCCCTTTCTTACTTCATGAACTTTTGCCTTGAAATCTACTGAGAATGCAACACTTCATAGCCCAATCACACACCCAAAGGAGCAGCTTTCTGATTATAAAGGGATATTCTGAGGTAGCCAAGAGAGGAACAAGAAATAAGTAGGGACAAGAAAGGAGTAAGTAGGACCACAGCAAAATATACACCTGTACCCTCTCGGAGTCAGCAACCATCTCCATGAAAGGATGTAGAAATCAGCTTACTTTGACTGGCATTCATAAAGATCAAATACCAAAGCGAAATGCAGGGCTTTACTTACGGTAATTCAAGATATCACATGCTTTCAAGGTCTTCCTTGCAAGGAACTCAATGGCAAAATTGCTACAGATTTCAGTACCACAGAATCGGGTCCTCAATTAATGTGAGCTTACATAATTATCTTTATACTAATGAAAAGTATTAACTTAAAAGTATTAACTGCAGGTGCTTAATAGGTGTGTTGTTGAGGAAAGCGTCTGAGGCAAAGGTGCACTGATGACTCAATCCTATTTTTGGACACATAATTTCAAAGGCAGAGTCCGGCTTGTGCTGTGCACTAGCAGCTACACTTAAGGCTGAAGATGGAGAGATGAAAATCTACAACCGCAAATCCTTATTTATGTGTGTGGTTATTTTTGTAGCAAAAGATTTCATAGGTAGCAGTACACATGACCAGCCCTGCTTCAGTGGCACCCTAAAAGTCCTCTCTAAAGCGGTGATTGAAGGTCAGGTTCTGTACATTGGTATGTACCAAAATTTTCTGAATGCATAAAGAACATGCCAGTGTAATAATATACATTTAAGAGTTTAAGTAACAGGACAATAAACGTTCTGTAATTCATCCAATGCTTACATGTAAGAGCCGTCTCTTCAGACAGAGCCAAAAGAGCATTTATTTCTTTGGCAAACATGAAGACTTGCTTACTTCTATCCAAAAAAAAAAAAAAAAAAAAGAAAAAGAAAAAAAAATTCCTATTAAAAAAAAAAAAAAAAAGTAGAAATGAACCCCAGCAAACCTGCCTCTTGGCAAGAAAGAGCATCAGTGTGATTGCTAAGCAGCATCCACAAGGTTGGTCAGAGAGGCAGGGAGACAGATGGCAGCCACAGGGACAGCAGCCTCCGCGGTGCCAGCTGAGACAACAGACACAACCTGACAGCAGCGCTCTCCTTAGGAGGCTCAAACACAACCTACTCAACCTGTTAGCTACCTATTTAGCTGGGATCAATACCTGAGCAGCAATTCAAGGGCAGCAAGTACCTGGAAAGCCCCACGCTGCATTCTCCCTAGTAATTCCCCCCTAAACGCTTCAGCAGCGGACAGAGCATGTTTTGAGACCAGTGTTACAAGCCCGCATAGCACTGCCAGAGAAAATCATCCCTTGGAAGCGGGGCTGACAGGGCTCACGAGCCAAAACCTCCCTTTTCTCCCACTGAATTTGTCAGTGAGGCTCCTCCTTGCTTCTTAGACTTCCTTACAAATCTTTTGGAGTCTTTTTATCTACTTTTAAGGCTATAAATCCTTAATCCACATATGCCTTGCACTGATAGCATTTATTTTCCACACACAATATCAATCTCATCACTCCAGAAAATTACTAATGGAAGAATTATTGTAGTAATCCAATTCATTTAAAAGTTTATTAAACATAATGATAATCACAATAATAAACCAGAAACAACTACTTAACCTTTTACAAGAACTATGGGCATAAGACTTCTTGTTCTACAAGTCAGCAAAGGAATAAAAAAGAAAAATAAATTACTTTTCAAATATAGTCATCTCTGGAAGCATTACTACAGCACTTTCTCATGACCTATTTTTTGCAAGTAAATATATGCTATTGCAATAACATTTTACCAGACAGGAAATAGGGAAAGCAAAATATTAAGACTAATGCAGCAAAACACTTCATCGTGGGCATAAATTTACCCCTACTCAGCAAAGTTTTAAAACATACGATAAACTTGGAACACACGTTTAAGCCCCATTAGCTTCATTGGGATCCTGAAGAAGTAACAAGCAAGAGCTTAAACGCTCTTCATAATTGGGTCCTGAGGAAGAACGAGCTAAGGGAAGCAGAAATGCAAATTCTTCACTTAAACAGAGATTTACCACCTTAGAATGGAAACATTGCACAAACCCCAAGGTTACCCCTGAGCAGCAAAACTCACATGAGAGATCAAGAGCGGTCATCACACAAACCAGTAAGGACATGCTCTAGCTCCCCATGAAAAACACTGCCTGATGGGCCACTGAGATCTGTGCAAGGCCACGGACGCCTGGCTCACCAGTGTAAGAAATAAAGGCATAAAAGGCTCGAAAAGATTAAAAAGTTTAAGGCAGCATGTTTGACTGCCACATCAGGTCCATTATATTAAAATGAAGATAAAAAACTGCCATTAGAGAATTATCCCCGTACTTCTCTAATGCCAAATGTACAAACTTTCAAACCACAATGTGGCAAGGGGCAAGGGCTGCAGGGTGGCCCGGACACAACAGGCTGTAGTTTCCACTGAAATCCACAGGAGTCCTAGTAGGGCTGATGTGGCCCACACAAGCCCATCCCAAGTGCTACTGCCCACACACCAACACGCACAGTAGTCACGAGCTTTTCCACTCTTTCACCTTGTTTCAAATGCTACTAATGACTGCAAGAAGATGACCAAAAACCTTTTACTAGTGCCAGAATCAACTGAACAGTACAAAAAATATATATAATCAGCTGTTTTAACTCTACCAACTATGGTTTTATTTTACAGTATGGATGCTGTAGAAGAAAAAAAGATAGATATATATGCACATATATATGTATGTGTATCATGGTTCCATATATACATTATACATACGTGTATGTAACATGTATGTATATAGATGTGTGTATATGTCACGCATATATGTATATTGCCTATGTATCTATATCTATAAAGATATATAGATATATAGACATACACCTATGGATATATGGAACCAGGATTGAGGGCTAAAAGAAAAAGGAGAGAGAATTACGGCTATTCTCTGAACAGATTGCAAGAATGGGGCAGCACTACAGGAAAATCATAGCACAATAAAAAAAAAACCCACACACGTTTTCTGCCATTTTTATTGAGCTCTGCAATTTTCAGGTGCCATAAAAGCACAGACAGAGAAAATAACTTTAGAAGAAGAAAAATTACCATTTCAATCCACACCACTATGCACTGTGCAATGCCACTAGAGCGCCACTGAACAGAACTAGTCACAGAGAGGAGTGGGTGGTTATCGAGCCTCAAATCCTGGGCTTGCTCTCGCTGTTTGGACCTCGTGCTAAGAGAGTAGTGGGGAAGAAAAGGAGGCGGGGGGGAAGGCATTAAAAGGAAAACTTTAAACACAAAAAGCAACTCAGGGAATTATTAACTGGATAGCCTGAGGTTTGTTTGTTTATTTTTTAATGTGACAAATAGCACTAGTGTCAATATATACATTATCTTTTCAAAGCAACTGGTGGCACGTGTCACCCTAAGGTGTGATCCTAAGTACGATGCATCTAAGGGACTAATACTGGCTTGCGCGCCAGTGTTTCTTGAGAGCTACTTGTTTGGCATTTTGACAACAGCAGCTTATCCCTATTTTGTCACCACGTGCTATCCAGGAGGCATTTTTCTGAGCAGTTAACACAGGCTCACTTGGCAGAGCCCTGCGATACCCTCCCAGGAAGGGCGAGAGGATGGCCCCTTTTCCGGGCAATTTCCCGGCATGTGTTCCCGCGGGCCCAGCCCTGGGCTCCACCGGCACCCGCAGCCCTGTCCGAGGAGGCCAGGGCAGAACAAAGGTTCAGCCCGTGCTCCCCGCGACACAAGCCATGGGTTGCGTGGCGCTCCTGTCGTTGCGGCGAGCTGGTTAATTGCATTTGTTTCATGGATCTCCAAACAGCCTGGTACATTAATTACATTCTGTAGCACCGAGCTCCTCTGATTCACTCTGTCACTTCCACTGAGCGCTTTAATTGTACTCCTCCTAGCTACATACAATTTTAAACACTTGCTAATAATTACATCTCTACAGCCCCGTGTTTACAGTCTGTATACAAAGATCGCTCTGACACTGGAGACCTTCCAGTTCTGAATCGAAACGTGTTACAGGAAAGAAAAAGAAAAAAAAAAGGAGAAAAACCACTGCTACGCTGGTGGGTGCAAACACTCCATCGAACGCTCTCACGGGTGGAACTTGCTGCTGGTTAGGATGTATATCGCGTATGTGAGGAAGGCAAAAGAAAGTCTTTTGCCGCGAGGAGGGCAAAGCCAGGGGCTGGTGCGGGGGCGCCGCCGGGAGGGCGCAGCTCGGCGGAACAGTGCTCCCTGCGGGCCTGCCCCGCTCCGCGCGGCCGCCTCCCCGCCGGGCTGGGGGGCTCGCGGGGCGCACGGGCCCTTCCTCTGCCCTCGCGGAGAGCGCCCGTCCCGCAGCGCGCGCAGCCCGCGGGGGGACGCGGGCGGCTCCGCGCGGAGACGGCGTGTCTGAAAGCGGGGCACTTACCGCACACTTGGGCAAACGCAAATCCACACAGCAGCAGCGGCGTCAGCAGACCCATTTTGACATATTAAAAGCAATCCAGACCGCTTGTGAGACAAATTCCAGAGAGATCAAAAAGAAAAAAAAAA